CATTCGGCTTCACCTCCCTGTGCCTCGTATAGACCCACCTCATAGGGCTGTCCTAAGGAATGAGTTAACAGACTCAAAGCTCTTAGTACATAGCAGGTGCTAATTATTAGTTCATTTTATGTACTTCCTATTTTTTCTTCCTTCCTTCCTTCCTTTTTCTTTCTTTCTTTTAGTAGTTCACTGCCATTTCCTTTTTTTTTTTATTTATTTAATAGAGATGAGATCTTGCTATGTTGCCCAAGCTGCATGCAAACTTCCGGGCTCAAGTGATCCTCCCACCTTGGCCTCTTATTTTATGTATTTTTGTGTACGTTCAACATATCACGACATGCCATCAACTAGCACATTGCCTTAGCTCAGTGGTTTGCGAACAGGGGTGATCTGCTTCTACCTCAACCCCAGCCAGGGGACATTCAGCAATGTGTGTAGACATTTCTTTTTTAAATCTTTCTTTCTCTCTCTCTTTTTTTTTTTTTTTGTTGTTGTTGTTGTTGTTGTCGTCGTTGTTTTGTTTTGTTTTGTTTTAAGGAGCGGAAAGTTTAATAGGCAAGAAAGAAAAAAGATAGAAGAAAAGGGCTCCCCTGTACGGAGGGAGCAAGGCTCCAAACAGACAAACCCCCTTAAATTTTTTTTTTTTTTTTTTTTTGGTGGGAGATGAAGTCTTGCTCTGTTGCTCACTACAGTGGCAATCTTGGCTCACTGCAACCTCCGTCTCCCGGATTCAAGCTATTCTCCTGCCTCTCGGATCTCCTGACCTCGTGATCTGCCTGCCTTGGCCTCCCAAAGTGCTCAGATTACAGGCCTGAGCCACTGAGCCCAGCCAGTTTTCCTCTTTTAGAGACTATGGTCTTGCTATGTTGGTGAAACTCCTGGGCTCAAGCAATCCTCTCACCTCAGCCTCCTTAGTAGCTGGGACTACAGGCTCCTGCCACCTTGCCAAAACATTTCTGTTTATTACAACTAAGAGGGTGCTACTGGCATCTGGCAGGTAGAGGCCAGGGATGCTGCTTGAAGTCCTACAATGAATGCCTAGGATAGCCCCCACCCATGAAGAATTATGCGGCCTCAACTATCAACAGTGCAGAGGTTGCAAAACCCCACCTTAGCCTCATAATTGAGGTTCATGGAGCATGGTCTTAAATTGTCCTCTGACCCTGGCCTGCTCTGTGATGCTGGAAAAGTGATTCCAAGCCCCCGTGCCTCAGTTTCCCCACCCGTAAGTACTTGTATTAATAATAACAGTGTCGGCTGGGCATGGTGGCTCATGCCTGTAATTCCAGCACTTTGGGAGGCTGAGGTGGGCTGATCATGTGAGGTCAGGAGTTCGAGAACAGCCTGACTAACATGGCAAAAGCCCGTCTCTACTTAAAATACAAAAAGTAGCCAGGCATGGTGGCAGGTGCCTGTAATCCCAGCTTCTCGGGAGGCTGAGGCAGGAGAATCACTTGAACCTCAGAGGTGGAGATTGCAGTGAACTGAGATCGTGCCACTGCACTTCAGCCTGAGGGACAGAGTGAGACTCTGTCTCCAAAATAATAACAATAATAAGGCCAGGGATGGTGGCTCATGCCTGTAATCCCAGCACTTTGGGAGGCTGAGGCGGGTGGATCACCTGAGGTCAGGGGTTTGAGACCAGCCTGGCTAACATGGCAAAACCCCATCTCTACTAAAAAATACAAAAATTAGCCAGGTGTGATGGCAGGCACCTGTAATTCCAGCTACTTGGGAGGCTGAGGCAGAAGAATTGCTTGAACCCAGGAGGTGGAGGTTGCAGTGAGCTGAGACCGTGCCACTGCATTCCAGTCGGGGGACTCTGTCTCCAAATAATAATAATAATAATAATAATAATAACAGTGTCCACCTCTGAGGGTGTCATGAGAATTGAGTGGATGTTTGTACTGAGCTTGGAACATGGCCTAACATAGGGCTGTAGTTATCTGACTATTGCAGCCATACCATTAGCATGTAACCAATAAACTGCACGTCCTTAACATGTCATTAGTGTGCAGCAGGTTGCAGACATGTCATCCAAGTGTCACAGACATGGCCTTCACTCATGTAGCATGATATGGTCATAGCATCCACCCCTGTGGTCCAGGGGTGACATCTGGCTAGGTAGGTCTGCTTGACAGGGACATAGTTCATGGCCTGGGGCTTGCCAACAAAGTCACGCTGTGGTTCAGGTGACACACAGGTGGATGTCAGGGGGTAAGATTCAGGATCTATGCTCCCCCAGGTCCTTATGAGGGACTGGAGAGGACAGAACTGGGGTGCTGGGCCCTCAGCATAAAGAATGCTATGTGCTGGGCATGGTGACTCATGCCCATAATTCCAGCATTGTGGGAGGCCAAGGCAGGTGGATTGCTTGAGCCCAGGAATCTGAGACCAGCCTGGGCAACATAGAGAGACCCCATCTCTAAAAAAAAATTAGCCAGGTTGGTGGCACAAGTCTGTAATTCTAACTACTTGGGAGGGCTGAGGTGGGAGGATCACTTGAGCCTAGGAGGTCAAGGCTATGGTGAGCTGTGATTGTGCCACTGCACTCCAGTCCAGGGGCAGAGTGAAACCTTGCCTAAAAAAAAAAAAAAAAAAAAAAGCCGGGTGCAGTGGCTCAAGCCTGTAATCCCAGCACTTTGGGAGGCCGAGGCGGGTGGATCACGAGGTCGAGAGATCGAGACCATCCTGGTCAACATGGTGAAACCCCATCTCTACTAAAAATACAAAAAAAAAATTAGCTGGGCGTGGTGGCACGTGCCTGTAATCCCAGCTACTCGGGAGGCTGAGGCAGGAGAATTGCCTGAACCCAGGAGGCGGAGGTTGCGGTGAGCCAAGATTGCGCCATTGCACTCCAGCCTGGGTAACAAGAGCGAAACTCCGTCTCAAAAAAAAAAAAGGCTGCCAGGTGCAGTGGTACGTGCCTGTGGTCCTAGCTACTCAGGAGGCTGAGGCAGGAGAATCACTTAAACCTGGGAGGTGAAGGTTACGGTGAGCCAAGATTGTGCCATTGCACTCCAGCCTGGGCAACAAGAGTGAAATTCTGTCTCAAAAAAAAAAAAGAAGGCAGCTATGGCCTGAGTCCTTCTGCTGTGGCCGGCACTGTGCTGGGCATGTCAGAGGCATATTTCTTTTTATCTTTACGACTTTTCCATGAGGCAGGCACTATCATTAGCCCATTTTACAGATGTGGCCATAGAGGCCCAGAGATGACAAGGGGCTTGCCTAAGGCTATAGATTGTTGGTATCTGGAGGTAAACCCAGGATGATGCTCAGTAAACTACCATGGGATTCAGTTGTGCCTCAAGACTTCAGAGAGATAGGGAGAGATGACCTCAGAGACAAAGAGACTCAGAGACCCAGCCAGAGGCCCAGTGGGCAGTGGGAGGGGTGGGTGGAAGAAGGCTGGTCTCTGTCTGACCAAGCCCCCCCAGAATAACGCAGGCTGCCCCCCTAGGTGGAAACAATGACACAACCAGCTCCCAATACCAAGGGCCTGACATCACAAGTGGGGGGAGGCAGCGGAGGTGGGGGGGTGCCCCGCCCCTTGGCAGGCCCCCTCAGCCAATGGAACGGCCTTGGAAGAGACCCGGGCCGCCTCCAGAGCTTCAAAAACGTGCGAGGAGGGAAGAGGGTGCAGACGGAGCTTCAGCTGCTGCTGCGGTCCTCAGCGTCAGTGCTGCCACTGCCCGTCGCCAGAGCCCATCGGCCAGCATGTCCTCTGCTCACTTCAACCGAGGCCCTGCCTATGGGCTGTCAGCTGAGGTTAAGAACAAGGTATGGCTGGGGGGCCTTCCTGGCCTGGCCCACATGCCCTGCCAGGCCAGAGCCCCTTGCTTGGGGTCCCTTGAACCCCCTCCTGCCTGTCCCATGTGACTTGGAAACAGAGGGGGAAAAGGGAGTGATACGGGATAGGGGCTGCCTGTCTCTCCCCCTGAACATCCCAGAGCCCCCAGCTATGGTTGGGGTGCAATGGGGGGCACAAAGCCACACATAAACAGAGGAGGTCAGTCCATGGCAAAGATATCCACCTAATCAGTCTTCTGATAACCTTTTGTGTTCTTTGGGGGAACAACATAGGGGGAAGACTTGTGGATTTTCCCATACCCCCTTACCTGAAAATAAATTAGAGCGCACTTGAGAGCTGGTGCCCCTGGGAAGTGAAGCCCAGAAAGGATAAGAGATCTTGAAGGCAGAGGGGGACGGTGGAGGGCAGGAAATGGGCATCAGAAGTGCTCAGGGGTCTCCTAACTGTGGAGCTAGGAAGACACCTTGACATCACCTTCATGCTATGGAGGGGTAAACTGAGGGTAGGAGAGGAGAGGCAAAATGCTGCGGTCCCCGGTAAAGCAGGTACAGCGCTCCGACCCTGGACTCACCCCCCACACCAGGATGGGGTCAGCTTCTCCCGGCGGGGTAGGGGGAGAGCTTGAAGTTTTCAGCCCACTGGAATCGTCCCAACAGCACGGCCGAAGGAGGAGTTCCTGCCCCATTTGACAGAGGGGAACACTGAGGCTCAGGGTGGCTTTTCCCAGGGTCCCATGGTGAGGAAGTCGGGGGCTGGGTTGGAACCTGGATCGGGGGATCCTCGGGGTTGGAGGAGGGGGCTGGTGGGGGGCGGGTCCTCAGGCGGGAGACAGATCCCAGCGCCGCCCTCCTCCCCCCAGCGCCGGCCCCAGAGCCGCGCAGAGCCGCCGCGCCTTATAAGGCGGCCTCGGGGAGCCGGGGACACGCTATATAAGGGCGGGTTTGCTTTATAAAGCCGGACTGGTGGCGTGGGGGGCAGCAGGGCTGGGGCCAGGTGAGGGGGCCGCCCCTCCCATCTCCCCCCACCCACCCTGGAGAAGAAGGGGCAGCCCGGTCCCCTAGGGGCTGGGAGCGTGGCTGGGCTGGGGCGGAGGGTTCTAGAGAAATGGGAGTGGGGGAGGGGGGCACAGTGGAGAGAGGGAAAAGCTGGGGGAGAGGCAGACAGAGATACTGGGAGCCTGAGACACCCTAGGGACAGACACGGGGAGGGCGAGCCGGGAGTCAGATAAGCCCTAGACAGGGATGGAGGGGCTGAGAGGAGAGACAGAGCCCCACCCCCATCTCAGGCAGGAAACCTGGAGACAGAAAAAGACCTAGAGAAGCTGAGATGCAAGACCCAGGAGTCCCACCCCCGCCCAGGCAGGGTCTAGCCACCCAGAGAGATGGGGACCTCAAGAATGGGCCAAGGAAAGACAGAACTGGGAAGAGGGAGACAGAGGAGTCAGGCGGTGGGATAAGGGGGCGAGAGACACACAGACCGTGCAAGGGGTGAGCATTAAGACAGAGGCAAGCCCCCAGCCCTAACCAGAGACAGAGCCCTGGAGCTGAAGACCTGAGGGACATGGAGAGACAGAGGTGTATGAGGAGCACTCTTCTGCAAGCCAGCACCCGGAGGCACCTCCGTAGACCTCCTTCTCTGCTTCATGAGGTGCCCCCTCTTCCAACAGGGGGCACAGAGGGGGCAGGACTAGAGGAAAAGCAGCCCCAAGTTTGGCCTGAATGGAAAACCAGGGGGCCTGGCGCAACCTCTCTAGCTCAGAGGATCCAGCTCCCCACACCCCATCCCTCATCTCATTCACTGGTGCCAAACCTCAGAATGCCCGGAATGGCCCCCTGGGCAGGTGCCACCTCGGCCCTGGCTCTCAGCCCTCCCCAGCCCCCCCACCAACTATGGATCTGGGGCAAAATTACCTTAGTTGGGAAGGACCCGGGAGATCAGGCTCTAGGTGGCTCGGATAGGACCCAGGGAGCCCAGGTTGGCCCACTGCATCCTCACCCCTTTCTCTGTGCCCCCTCTCCCCCGCCACCCCAGCTGGCCCAGAAGTATGACCATCAGCGGGAGCAGGAGCTGAGAGAGTGGATCGAGGGGGTGACGGGCCGTCGGATCGGCAACAACTTCATGGACGGCCTCAAAGATGGCATTATTCTTTGCGAGTGAGTGAGGCTCTGAAAGCCCAGACCCTGCACCCCCACCCCCAAGTCTGGGCAGCCCCTCAACCCTCAAAACAACCATGATTCTGGAACTGACTTGAGCACTTTCTGTCAGTTACCTTTGGGATGGCCAGTCATCATTGTGCCCATTTAACAGGCATAAAAAACTGAGGCTCAGTTAGGTGAAATACATTGCCCCAAGTCCCACACTGTTTCAAGGGAATTGACTCTGGAATCTTAACCACCATGCTATGCAGGGTAGGCCCATCTATGGCAACCAGAGTCCCCAGAAAGAGCAGTCACAGCTAAAAAGCAGCAGCCAACAGCTGTTCATGGCTGGCTTGGTGACCCAAGGAGAGAGGTATGGCAATAATTAAAGTAGGCCCTGGTTTTCTTTATGGTTTTTGTTTTGTTTTGTTTTTTTGAGATAGAGTCTTGTTCTGTTGCACAGGCTGGAGTGAAGTGGCACCATTTCAGCTCACTGCAACCTCTGCCTCTGGGGTTCAAGTGATTCTCCTGCCTCAGCCTCCCCAAAAGCTGGGATTATAGGCATGTGCCACCATGCCCAACTAGTTTTTGTATTTTTTTTTTTTTTTTGAGACGGAGTTTCGCTCTTGTTACCCAGGCTGGAGTGCAATGGCGCGATCTCGGCTCACCGCAACCTCCGCCTCCTGGGTTCAGGCAATTCTCCTGCCTCAGCCTCCTGAGTAGCTGGGATTACAGGCATGCGCCACCATGCCCAGCTAATTTTTTTTGTATTTTTAGTAGAGACGGGGTTTCACCATGTTGACCAGGATGGTCTCGATCTCTTGACCTTGTGATCCGCCCGCCTCGGCCTCCCAAAGTGCTGGGATTACAGGCTTGAGCCACCGCGCCCGGCTTGTATTTTTTTTTTAGTAGACATAGGCTGGTCTCGAACTCCTGACCTCAAGTGATCCACCTGCCAAAGTTCTGAGATTACACGCTTGAGCCACCTTGCCCAATCTTCTTTTTTTTTTTTTTTTGAGATAGACCTTGCTCTGTTGCCCAGGCTGGAGTGTAATGATGGAATCTCGGCTCACTGCAACCTCTGCCTTCCAAGTTCAAGCGATTCTCGTGCTTCAGCCTCCTGAGTAACTGGGATTACAGGTGCCCACCACCACACTCAGCTGATTTTTGTATTTTTAGTACAGACGGTGTTTCACCATGTTGATCAGGATGGTCTCGATCTCTCGACCTCGTGATCTACCCGCCTCGGCCTCCCAAAGTGCTGGGATTACAGGCGTGAGCCACCATGCCCGGCCTCATGTTTTATTTTATTTTATTTATTTATTTAGAGACGGAGTCTGGGCCGGGCGCGGTGGCTCAAGCCTGTAATCCCAGCACTTTGGGAGGCTGAGGCGGGTGGATCACGAGGTCGAGAGATCGAGACCGTCCTGGTCAACATGGTGAAACCCCGTCTCCACTAAAAATACAAAAAACTAGCTGGGCGTGGTGGCGCCTGCCTGTAATCCCAGCGACTTAGGAGGCTGAGGCAGGAGAATTGCCTGAGCCCAGGAGGCGGAGGTTGCGGTGAGCCAAGATCGTGCCATTGCACTCCAGCCTGGGTAACAAGAGTGAAACTCCGTCTCAAAAAAAAAAAAAAAAAAAAAAAAAAAAAAAAAAAAAAAAGAGACGGAGTCTGGCTCTATTGCCTGGGTTACCTTGTTCCATTGCCATCCACTAGGAACAAGGAATTGGCAGGTGGTGAGGTGGGCATGCTGGTGTCCCAGCTCAGACAGATACATAGTAAGATCTGGATAACATAATAAGATCCTATCTCTACAAAAAAAATTTTGTTGTGATTAGCCGGGCATGGGGGCATGCGCCTGTGGTCCCAACTACTCAGGAGGCTGAAGCGGAAGGATCACTTGAGTCCTGGAGGTCAAGGCTGCAGTGAGCTATGATTGCACCACTGTACTCCAGCCTGGGTGACAGTGAAACCCCGTCTCAAAAAAAAAGAAAAAAAAAAGAAAATGTAGTACAGTCACCCACCCACTTGGTAATTCACTCATTCATTCATGCAAGAAGCATTTATGAGTTCCTGCTGTGTGCCAGGCTCTGGTCTATGGACTAGGAACCGTGAACAGAACAGACTCAACTCAGAGCTTGACTTTTAGTCCTAGTTGAGGAGATCAATCAAATAGTTGATCAAATAATCACAGACTTGCCTGTGGTGATAAGTGTCCTGGGGAAACCCCAAGTAGGAAAGGAAGATAGGAGGGTCGAGCGTGTGTGTGGCGAGTGGAGGGGCTGCAGTTTCCTAGAGAGTGGTCTAGAGACCAGGCTTGGTGGCTCACTCCTGTAATCCCAGCACTTTGAGAGGCTGAGGCAGGCAGATCACCTGAGGTAAGGAGTTCAAGACCAACCTGACCAACATGGTGAAACCCTATCTCTACTAAAAGCACAAAATTAGCTGGGCATGGTGGCACATGCCTGTAGTCCCAGCTACTTGGGAGACTGAGGCAGGAGAATTGCTTGAACCTGGGAGGCGGAGGTTGCAGTGAGAAGATTGTGCCATTGCACTCCAGCCTGGGCAACAAGAGCGAAACTCCATCTTAAAAAAAAAAGAGAGAGAGAGAGAGAGAGAGCGGTCTGAGAGGCCTCCGTGAAGAGGTGACATTTGAACAGAACCTTGAATGAAGTGAGGGAGGCTCAGGGGACCTGAGAGAAGAGTAAGGAAAGCAGACGGGGCAGCCAGTGCAAAGGCCTGGGGTAGGAACGTGCTTGGGGTGTTCAAGAAACAAGGAGGAGGCTGGTGTGACGGGCACCAAATGATTGAGAGGAAGTTGATATGAAGTCACAGAGTGAACTGAGAGTCGATGGTGGAGGACCTTTTATTTCATGTATTTATTTATTTAGAGACAGCGTCTTGCTCTGTTGCCCAGGCTGGAGTACAGTGGTGCAATCATAGCTCACTACAGCCTCGACTTCCTAGGCTCAATTGATCCTCCTACCCCAGCCTCTTCAGCCCCAGCCTCCTCAGTAGTTGGGAGTAGAGGTGCATGTCACCACGCCCTTTTTTTTTTTTTTTTTTTTTTTTTTGTAGAGACATGGGTCTCACCATGTTGCCCAGGCTGATTTCAAACTCCTGGGCTCAAGCCATCCTCCTGTCTTAGCCTCCCAAAGCACTGGGATTACAGGCATGAGCCATTGCTTCCAGTTTACAAAGGGCCTTTTAGTCATACAGAGGAGTTAGGATTTCATTCTGAAGGCAATGGGAGGCTACAGAGGATTTGGAACTGGAGGGTAAATTGAATTGTTTTAGCAAGGCCATTCTGGGCCGGTTATGGTGGCTCTCGCCTATAATCCCTGCACTTTGGGAGGCCAAGGCAGGTGTATCACTTGAGGTTGGGAATTTGGAACCAGCCTGATCAACATGATGAAACCCCATCTCTACTAAAAATACAAAAAAATTAGCTGGGCATAGTGGTGGGTGCTGTAATCCCAGCTACTTGGGAGGCTGAGGCAGGAGAATTGCTTGAACCCAGCAGGTGGAGGTTGCCGTGAGATCACATCACGCCACTGCACTCCAGCCTGGGTGACAAATTGAGACTCCATCTAAAAAAAAAAAAAAAAAAAAAGTCATTCTGACTGCTGGATGAAGAAGAGCCTGCTGCAGGGGATGAGGTAGAAGTTGGTAGCCCATTACAGGAGCCCAGGAAACAGACTGTGGTGGCTCAGACCCAGGAGGAGATGGCGGGGAGCAGTGGGGGGGCTTCTGGACGTATTAAAAGGCAGAGGGTAGGCCCAGTGCAGGTGGAGGGACTGAATATGAGGCTAAGAGAAGGAGAAATTGGGAGCCAGGTGCAGTGGCTCACGTCTGTAATCCCAGCACGTTGGGAAGCCAAGATGGGTGGATCTCCTGAGGTTGGGAGTTCAAGACCAGCCTGACCAACATGGAGAAACCTCGTCTCTACTAAAAAAAAAAATACAAAATTAGCTGGATGTGGTGGCGCATGCCTGTAATCCCAGCTACTTCGGAGGCTGAGGCAGGATAATTACTTGAACCTGGGAGGCAGGGGTTTCGATGAGCTGAGATCGTGCCACTGCACTCCAGCCTGGGCAACAAGAGCAAAACTCCATTTCAATAAATAAATAAATAAAATAAGAAGGAGAAAGTGGGAGTTGAGGGCAAGTCCGAGGGCTCTGGCTGAGCACCTAGAAGCAGGCATTGCTAGGCAGTGAAGATGGAGGGAGAGGGAGTCTGGAGGGGGAAGCTGCGTGTCGGGAGTCTGGCAGGATGAGTTTGATTTGAGACACCCAGACGCCCACAGAGGGAGCTGGATGAGACCAAGAGAAACCCAGGCTGCAGGGAGATGAAGGAGTTGCTGGCATATGGAGGCAGTTAAAGTCAGCAGACTGAATGAGGCCAGGCGCTGCAGCTCACACCTGTAATCTCAGGATTTTGCAAGGCCGAGGCAAGAGGATCACTTGAGCCCAGGAGTTCCAGACCAGCTTGGGCAATACAGTGAAACCCCATCTTTACAAAAAAAAAAAAAAAAAAAAAAAAGATAGCCAGGTGTGGTGGTACACACTTATGATCCCAGCTACTTGGAAGGCTGAGGTGGGAGGATCGCTGGAGCCTGGGAAGTTGAGGCTGCTGCAGTGAGCTGTGATTGCACCACTGCACTGTAGCCTGGGCGACACAGCCAGATCCTGTGCCAGACAAAAAAAAAAAGAAAAAGACTGAATGAGATCATTAAAGGGGTCAGAGAACAGGCCCCTGTGGGCTCCCTGCTGTCTACAAGAGAAAAGGATGCTGAGACACTGGAGGGTAACATGAATTGTTTTAAAAAAGGCCATTCTGGGCCGGGCACAGTGGCTCAAGCCTATAATCCCAGCACTTTGGGAGGTCAAGGCAGGCGTATCACTTCAGGTCAGTAGTTCAAAACCAGCCTAACCGACACGGTGAAACCAAATCTCCACTAAAAACACAAGAAAATTAGCCAGGCAGCGAGCCTTGGGAAATCTTGGAGACTCGGACACACCTTGGATGAGGAGGCTTTTTGATTGTGACCTGAGTCTAGCTCCCTGGCATCAGTGCCCCATTTGTATGTGTGCTTGGGTGGTTTGGAGGGGCTGTAGCTGAGAGCTGACGGCAGGGAGAAGTGACACTAGGGCATGGCATGGCCCCTTGTGGTCATCCTGACCCCATCCTCCCCCACTGGGCTAGGCTGGGTAAGGAGTAGGGGGACACCTTTCTTAGCCCCTCCCCACTCTTCTCAGATTCATCAATAAGCTTCAGCCAGGCTCTGTGAAGAAGATCAATGAATCAACCCAAAATTGGCACCAGGTGAGCCCCAACCCAATCTCTTCCATCCTTGCCCACAACACCTCAGACCTCCACCGCCCCCCAGTGACCATCGCCTGCCCCCCTCTAGCTGGAGAACATCGGCAACTTCATCAAGGCCATCACCAAGTACGGGGTGAAGCCCCATGACATCTTTGAGGCCAATGACCTGTTTGAGAACACCAACCACACCCAGGTGCAGTCCACCCTCCTGGCCCTGGCCAGCATGGTGAGTGTGGGTGCAGGCCGGGCAGTGGACAGTGGGCAGCCCGGGCTGGGATGCATGTGTGGCCGCTTGTGCCCCCGAGCTCAGTGTGGCCCAGGCGTGGTGGCTCATGCCTGTAATCCCAACACTTTGGGAGGCCTAGGAGGGCTGATCGCTTGAGGCTGGGAGTTCGAGACCAGCCTGGCAACATGCTGAAATGCCATCTCTACTAAAAATACAAAAATGAGCTGGTCATGGTGGCACATGTCTGTAATCCCAGCTACTCAGGAGGACGAGGCAAGAGAATCGCTTGAACCCAGGAGGCGGAGGCTGCAGTGAGCCGAGACTGCGCCACTCACTGCACTCTAGGCTGGGTGACAAAGCGAGACTCTGTCTCATAAATAAATAAATAAAAAACAGTGTCCATGGGGACTGTGCAGTGGGGCGTCCCCCTCGTCAGTCCCTGCTCTCCCTGCCCCACCCAGGCCAAGACGAAAGGAAACAAGGTGAACGTGGGGGTGAAATACGCAGAGAAGCAGGAGCGGAAATTTGAGCCAGAGAAGCTAAGAGAAGGGCGGAACATCATCGGGCTTCAGGTACATCCCTATCCTCTCCACACAGAGGTCAAGGAGGCCAGGAAGGCACTCTGGTGTCTTCAGGCTTTTGGGGACGGGATATTCAGCATTAACTATACTATAGGCCGCGTACTACCCTTATCCACATCTTCTGTTCACTAACTCACTCACTCTGCCAACACCCCTAGCAGAGAGATGCTGTTGTCACTATACTTGTTCCACGAACGGGAAAACAGGCCGGGAGAAGCTGGCTCACTTTTGCCCAGATCTTCCAACTGAGACATGGCAGGCTGAGACTGGAATGCTGGAAGTCAGTCATGTGATAGGCCCAGTCTGGGCCTCAGTTTCCAGTCTGGAAACGGTGCCTCAGGCAGGGTGCAGTGGCTTACACCTGTAATTCCAGCACTTAGGGAGGCTGAGGCAGGAGGATTGCTTGAGGTCAGGAGTTTCACACCAGCCTGGGCAAAATAGAGAGATCCCGCCACTGCCATCTCTACAAAAAAATTTAAGAATTTAGCCAAATGTGTGGTGGCTGAAGTGAGAGCATCACTTGAGCCCCAGGAGTTCAAGGTTACAATGAGCTATGATTGCATCATTGCACTCTAGCCTGGGGGACAGAGCGAGACCCTGTCTCTGAAAAATGAAAATTGGCTGGGCAAAGTGGCTCATGCCTGTAATCCCAGCACTTTGGGAGGCCGAGGCGGGTGGATCAACTGAAGTCAGGAATTTGAAGCCAGCTAGTCAACATCGTGAAACCCTGTCTCCACCAAAAAGACAAAAATTAGCGGGCGTGGCAGTGAGCAACCGTAGTCCCAGCTACTTGGGAGGCTGAGGCAGGAGAATCACTTGAACCCCGGAGGCAGAGGTTGCAGTGAGCCAAGATCATGCCACTGCATTCCAGCCTGGGTGACAGAATGAGACTCAAATAAAATAAAAATAAAATTAAAGAAGAATAGAATAAAACAAAATAAAATATAAAGATAAAATAAGGCCGGGCATGGTGGCTAACACCTGTAATCCCAGCACTTTGGGAGGCCAAGGTGGGTGGCTCATGAGATCAGGAGTTCAAGACCATCCTGGCCAACATGGTGAAACCCTATCTCTACTAAAACTACAAAAATTAGCTGGGCATGGGGACACTGCCTGTAGCCCCAGCTACTTGCGGGGGCTGAGGCAGGAGAATTGCTTGAACCAGGGAGTCGGAGGTTGCGTGAGCCAAGATCACGCCACTGTACTCCAGCCTGGGCAACAGAGCCAGACTCCATCTCTAAATAAATAAATAAAATAAAATATGAAAACAGTGTCTCATTCTCTCACATCAGCCTCATGACCCACAATGAGGTCTGTAATTCTTGGTGTGATTCTTCTTCTGGCTTCCTAGATGGGCACCAACAAGTTTGCCAGCCAGCAGGGCATGACGGCCTACGGCACCCGGCGCCACCTCTATGACCCCAAGCTGGGCACAGACCAGCCTCTGGACCAGGCGACCATCAGCCTCCAGATGGGCACCAACAAAGGAGCCAGCCAGGTGAGAGGGGCCCCCTGGGGCAAGCCGTCAAGGCCCGGGACCCTGGCTGCCCCACGGCCTGACCACACCGCCCTTCGCAGGCCGGCATGACCGCACCAGGGACCAAGCGGCAGATCTTCGAGCCGGGGCTGGGCATGGAGCACTGCGACACGCTCAACGTCAGCCTGCAGATGGGCAGCAACAAGGGCGCCTCACAGCGGGGCATGACGGTGTACGGGCTGCCTCGCCAGGTCTATGACCCCAAGTACTGCCTGACGCCCGAGTACCCCGAGCTGGGGGAGCCTGCCCACAACCACCACACACACAACTACTACAATTCTGCCTAGGGCCACAAGCCTTCCCTGTCTTCCCCCCGAGGGAGGCTGCTGCTGCTCTTGGCCGGACCCAGCCAGGCCCAGCCAACCCCCTACTCCCTGCATGGCATCCTCCAGCCCCTGTAGAACTCAACCTCTACAGGGTTAGAGTTTGGGGAAAGCAGACTGGGGGGCCCTTCGGGGGGAAGGGGACCCTCCACTCTGTAGTGCTACAGGGTCCAACCTAGAGCTGGGTGTCCCCAACAGCGCCCAAAGGACGCACTGAGCAAAGCTATTCCAGCTGTCCCCCCACTCCCTCACAAGTGGGTACCCCCAAGACCAGAAGCTCCCCCAGCGAAGCCCCCAGAGCCCAGGCTCGGCCTGCTCCCACCCCATTCCCACAGTGGGAGCAAACTGCATGCCCAGAGACCCAGCGGACACACGCAGTTTGGTTTGCAGCGACTGGCATACTACGTGGATGTGACAGCGGCGTTTGTAACGCGAGCACTTTCTTTTTTTTCTATTTCACTGGAGCACAATAAATGGCTGTAAAATCTCCTGAGACCTCAGGGCTGCTCTGTTTTGGATATGCTCCATTTCCCACACACACCTCTGCATGGACACACACGCTCACACGCACCCTAAGACGCACATATACGCTCACATGCACCCAAAGACACACACCTCACTGTAGCCACTCAGCTAGACACAGGACAGGCACCCATCACACTCACATGCAGAGTCCACACACACTCCTCCTTTTACACACACAGAGATGAACATACATCCAGTACATATTCCCCACGACATGTAAAAAAGGCATAGCCAGCCAGGCACAGTGGCTCATGCCAGTAATCCTGGCACATTGGGAGGCTGAGGTAGGCAGATCACCTGAGGTCAGGAGTTTGAGACCAGACTGGCCAACATGGCAAAACCCTGTTTCTGCTAAAAATATAAAAATTAGCAGGACATAGTGGTTCCTGTCTGTAGTCCCAGCTACTGGGGAGGCTGAAGTAGGAGAATCACTTGAGCTCTGGAGGTCTAAGCTATAGTGAGTGGAGTGGTGCCACTGCACTCCGGCCTGGGAAACAGAGCAAGACTCTATCTCAAAAAAAAAAAAAAAAAGAAAGAAAGAAAAAAAAGCAAAAAGCATAGCCAGAGAGCCAATTCTCTCTCTCTCTCTCTTTCTCTCTCTCTCTCTCTCACACACACATATACACACACACACATACGAGACCCACACTGCTCTCCCAGAGGCTTGTGGATGGTGACAAAGAACCCAAGAACTGGGCCAGGCATGGTGTCTCACACCTGTAATCTCACCACTTTGGGAGGCCAAGGTGGGCATATCACCTGAGGTCAGGAGTTCCAGACCAGCCTGACTAACATGGAGAAACACTATCTCCACTAAAAATACAAAATTAGCCAGGCGTGGTGGTGCATGCCTGTAATCCCAGCTACTCAGGAGGCCGAGGCAGTAGAATTGCTTGAACCTAGGAAGCGAAGGTTGCGGTGAGCCGAGATTGTGCCATTGCATTCCAGCCTGGGCAAGAAGATCGAAATTTTGTTTCAAAAAAAAAAAAAAAGAGCCCTGTCCCTATACTGGGACCGGCTGGATGGCATATGAATCAGAGTGGCTGCCTGGGTGACCTCGGGCAATCACTTCCCCTCTCTAGACCTGTTTTCCCATAATGGGGACGGTGAGCCCCATGTGGTCATGAAACGACACCCCCAGATGGGGGTGATGATCTAAGTGTTTAATTGCTGGTGAAGATTGGGTACTGTTAGAGAAAGGATGACAAGTAGGGATGCTGGTGGCCCCTGTGGGCAGGGTGAACCATTTAGCCCCAGACTGTGGGGAGGGGAAAGGGAACTGGGAGAGAGACAGTTCTGAGCCAGGGCAATGGCCCTTTGCCGACTGGCACAGGGTACCATAGGGCATAGTTAATCCTGTGTGCCCCGCCCGCTCTCAGACTTCTTAAGGCTGAGCCTGCCAACCCAGGACCCTAAAAGGCTGTGTCCAGGGCCCCAACCTCCACGTTTTAGAGGGGACCCTGTTTTCCCCGTGAGGAGAAAGAAGTCCCCAGTCATCAGGATTCTGTGGAGGAGAGGAGGCAGAGAAGTGAGGAGGGGGGCACAGAGCTGTCTTCTCCCCAGGGAGGGCAGGGGTTGAGGCTGGAACGTGGGGGCCTGTGGAGACAGACACCAGAAGACCCGCGCAGAGACGCACGCAGCCCCTCGGGCCTCGTAAACCGGATTCCAGGCGCTCTTGGCCTGGCTACCGCGAGTCCCGCTCTCCCAGGGCGGCGCGGGGAAGCTATGCTGAGGAGGATCTGTGCCTGGCCCAGGGCCCTGCCTCTTCAGGAAAACAGCACCATATTAGCACTTAGCCTGTGAGGCTGGGGTGGGCAGGCAGCAGGGAGGGCCCCGGGTGCCTGAGGAATGAACCCCCTTTCTGCTAGATCCCAGAGCACCACCACCCTAAACTTAGGTGCCTATCCACCACTCTGCCTATGTGTGCGGGCTCCTGCCAAGGTTAGCGGATCACCAGGGAAGACATGGCAGAGAGGGCCCGGGGGGTGCACAAGGCAGACCCAGTAGCCCAGCCTGGCAGCCAGGGCTTCCGGGACAGCTCAGTGTCTCCTCGGGCCATTCACATTGGTCAGTGCCGTGGATGGGCCCCAGAGCTGCTCAAACCACATCTGGCACTTCCATCCTCAGCGTGGCTCCGGGAGGAAGGTGCCTCCATCCCCCGCACTGTAGCAACGAGGACTCTGAAGCATAGGTCACCTGCCACCTGGGCTCACAAGGCCAGTGGAGGGTCTGGCACTGCCTCAGGCTGCTGTGGTCCTTGTCACCCGTGCAACCAGCTGAGAAGAGACACGAAGCTCCCAGGCACTCCCCATCGGCCGAATCCTACCCCCATGCCAGCCTTCTGAGAACGCTCGGCACCCTTGGATAAAGTTCCCTTTCGTGGACTGTTTCTCTCCCCAGTGTCCCTCCTCCACCTACTGCCTCCTGGACGGCCTGTGAGCTGTTCCCTCCGCCTGGACTCTGGGCTCCCAAGGAAGTCAGGCTGTCAGAGTTAGAGCCGCGCTTCCTGGGTTCAAGCCCCACCTGTGCCACTTTCTGGCTATAGGGTCTTGGGCCAGTGACTTCCTTCATCTCTAGCCTGTTTTGTCATCTTTGAACCCGGGCTTAGCTTGGCACCTGCTCCACAGGGTGGCTGTTGGGACACTGGGGTGACACAGGCAAGCCCAGAGGTCAGCGTCTGGCTAGAGGTGGCCCTACAGTGTCACCGCCTCCTGCCCCTCCCAGAAGCCTCCTCTGACCACTGTAAACACCTGGCCAGGTGTCTGTCTGCTCCACCACCTTGAATGTTTACTGACAATAAAACACTGGGTGATGCCGGGCGAGGTGGCTCACACCTGTAATCCCAGCACTTTGGGAGGCCAAGGCAGGTGGATCATGTCAGGAGATGGAGACCATCCTGGCCAACCTGGTGAAACCGTCTCTACTAAACATACAAAAATTAGATGGGTGTGGTGGTGTATGCCTGTAATCCCAGCTACTTGGAAGGCTGAGGCAGGAGAATTGCTTAATGGCTTGAACCAGGGAGCGGGAGGTTGCAGAGAGCCAAGATCCTGCCACTGCACTCCAGCCTGGCAACAGAACAAGACTCCGTCTCAGGAAAAACAAAAAACAAAAATGCTGGGTAGTTTGAAGCGCTGATCACATGGGCAGCCAGGCCACTTCCTGAACACTGGAGCCTCAGGTCCCCCCTTCATCTTCTGGCAACGAGGCAGACGCAGAACCCAAGCAAGACATTAACGGAGAGCAAGGGATGTGCACTGGCTGTTTTATTGAAGGGCTTATGATTGACAGCTGTCCCCACCCCAGCCCTTGCCTCCTCTACCAAAGCAACTGAACATGAAACACAGCTTCCTGGTTCTCATGGGGGTAGGGAGGCAGCTCACTGTCAGGGCCCAGCCCAGGGACCTGGGGAACAGTGGCTTTGAATCCCAGGCCACGGGCACTAGAAGGTGGGGAAGGAGGGTGGGAAGTTCAGTTCGGATGGGCACAGTGCTGGTGAGGAGGCTGGAGAGGTTCCCTTCCAGCCTCTACTGGGCTTCCCCTGTCCAGGATATCAGGAAACAGCCCCCAACTTCCAGTGGGGGGAGCCACGGCTCCAAAGCCGGGGGGCCAGGGCCTGAAGAAGGGAACACAGCAAAGGCTTCTGGAGCCAAGTGAAGTCAGTTCAGGCCCCTCAGGCCCAGGAACCCCTGGACACCACCGCGTGCCTATGAACACACACTCACCGCCACCCCAGTGACACGTGCAGCCACACACTCACACCCACAGCCACGCCACACCCACACCCACTCCCACACACAGAGGGCTGCCACAACCCAGGACCCACACCCTGGACCCCTGGAATGTCTCTGGACCCGCAGCGAGCAGCTGGGTCTACAGCAGGCGGGGCTACCCAAGGGGCGGGTCCTCTCTGTTGCTACTGATTGGCTGCCTCGCAGGCATCTATCCAATCACTGTACACGTCCACGGGTTCTGACAGATCTGTGCCGCTTAAGTCAAGGGCCATCAGTTGCATTGGGTCCCTGCCCTGTACCTTCCCACCCCATATAAATCAGTAGGTGGCACCCGTTCCTCTGGATGGCCTTGGCCCTGAACCAGGGCTGACCGCTGGGACAGAGGAGCAGGGTCTGGACTCCAGCCCCCTCCCCACCCTCTAGAAAAAAATTCAGGTTTCCAAGGATACACGTTATGGGCGTCTGGAATTCCTCTAGGCACACAGTACAAGAGATGACTCCGGTGTTGCGGGCACGGTCCCTGAAACAGACAAAGAGAAGGGACTGGTTAGCAATGTGCCCTGAGCCTGTGGGTGATGATGCCTCCACCAAGGGCGGCAAGAGGCAGAATGTAGTACGGTGGGGAGAAAGGAGTGGGGAGGCCTGGGCATCCCATGAGGCAGGATCCCTTGCCCCGTTCCTCACTCACATTTTCACGTCACAAGACTTCTCGTGGTTGCAGAAGGGGCAGGTGAACTGGGTCTCGAGGGTGCCCGTCATCTTCTTCTTGGGAGGCGGCTTTCGTTTTGACTTTCTGCGTCCCATGTCTGCAGGTGGATGACCCTGTGGGGAGTGGCAAGTGTCAGTGGCTTGGGGAACCCATGCAGTCCCCTAGCTCAATGCTCCAGAAAGCAGGCCGGGAAGAGGGTCTAGCAGCGACCCAATGTGAAGGGGGGACTTCCACCATGGTGCTGGGGCCTCTGCCCTTGAGGGATGAGGCCCGCAGTCCTGGTACAAGAGGACAATCCCCCGTCCCACTCTGGATGGAAGGGGTGATAGGAGGCTCTCTAACCCCATCTCTCTCACTTACTGCGTGACCTGGGCCGGTTATTTACACTCTCTGTGCCATAGTTTCCTCGTCTATAAAATAGAGACAAGGTCAGGCATGGCAGCTCACACCTGTAATCCCAGCCAGCACTTTGGGAAGCCAAGGTGAGAGGATCACTTGATGCTAGGAGTTTGGCACCAGCC